CACTTTTATTTTTATACCCTCCAGGACCCTTATCATCTGGGTTTTGGTACTTTATTTTTTTCTCCACATCTTTCAGTGTTATATATATTTGAGATCGGGGTTTTGCTCTTTTACCCAGGCTGGAGTGTACTGGTGTGATTACAGCTCACCGCAGCCTTGACCTCCCAGGCTCAAGCAATCCCCCCACCTCAGCCTCCCGAGTAGCTGGGACCACAGGTACACCACCACACCTGGTTAATTTTTAAATTTTTTGTAGAGACAGGGTCTCACTCTGTTGCCCAGGTTTGTTTTATATTATATATATGGTTAACCTTTCCTGATTCTGGGAGAGTTCTATAGTATAGTCTTCTAACCTATTAACTGGCTCTTCAGCTTTTGTCTTATATGTATGATATTCTTTATCAGCTGCTCTGCTTATGTGTTTTGGGGAAGAATGAAAAGCCAAGTCCCAATCCATGTTAGAGACGGTAAACGAATGAGCCCTTTTACCCCAGAACCTCTGTTCCTCACTCAGATTTATTGTCACTCCACTAGGCAAATTCCCGGCTAGAGTATGACTTTAAAAATCCCTGGGGGAGGCTGGGCGCGGTGGCTCAAGCCTGTAATCCCAGCACTTTGGGAGGCCGAGAAGGGCGGATCACAAGGTCAGGAGATTGAGACCATCCTGGCTAACACGGTGAAACCCCGTCTCTACTAAAAAATACAAAAAACTAGCCAGGCGAGGTGGCGGGCACCTGTAGTCCCAGCTACTCGGGAGGCTGAGGCAGGAGAATGGCATAAACCCGGGAGGCGGAGCTTGCAGTGAGCTGAGATCCGGCCACTGCACTCCAGCCTGGGCGGCAGAGCGAGACTCCATCTCAAAAAAAAAAAAAAAAAAAAAAAAAAAAAAAAAAATCCCTGGGGGAAGCAGCACCCACCATCAGAGGGGGCCTCTCATGGCCTTGTAATCAGTAGTTTGGAGGGGAAAAGCTGGAGCATTTATTTATTTATTTATTTATTGAGAAGGAGTTTCACTCTTGTTGTCCAGGCTGGAGTGTAGTGGTGCGATCTTGGCTCACTGCAACCTCCTGGGTTCAAGTGATTCTCCCGCTTCAGCCTCCTGAGTAGCTGGGATTACAGGCACATGCCACCGCACCTGGTTAAGTTTTTTGTACTTTTAGTTGAGTCGGGGTTTTAGCATGTTGGCCAGGCTGGTCTTGAACTCCTGACCTCAGGTGAATCATCTGCCTAGGCCTCCGAAAGTACTGGGATTACAGGTGTGAGCCACCACATCTGGCCAAGATGGAGCTTTTAAATGGTCAAAGGCACCTGGTTATCATCATCTGCTTTTGTCAACACCTTAATGGCAAAGCCTTTGCCGTCCTTCAGTATTAACCCCTGCATTTGCACCAGTGGCCTGGGCTGCCACTGTTGCTGCAGTAAAGACGCAGGTGAAGACTGCCCCAAGGCTCTGCTGAGGAAACGCTGGGCAGAGCTGGGGAAGATTTCACACAGTTCTCTTCCACTGCACCCATCTCCTGTCCTCCTCAGGCTGCAGCCACCCACATTTCCCCCTGCAACCAAACCAGTTTTAAACACGTTTAGCTTTCTAGGTTTTTCTTAAAGGGTTTAGTTCCTGGTGTCCACACTTGCTTCACAGTTTCTCCGGGGCAGGGAAGGAGCCAGCAGTTCAGGTCGGCTTGCCAGGTGGGTGAAAACCAGGCTGCCCTCAGTGGGTGTTTATATCTTGCAGAACGGATGTCCTGCTGGTTCTAGCTCTGGCCCTATTGATCTGTGGACACAACGGTTCTTGGGGAAATTTCTGACTATGGTTTTTGGGGTTCAGCCTAAAAATCCGATCTTATTTCAATAGAAGATTGCTGAAAACTGCCTATGATTTCACTTTCCCAGTCTCAGGCCCTGGGACAGACATGCAGAGGTGAGGAACAGTGACTGAGCCTCTCTCAGGCTTTGGGTGCAGGCTGAGCCAGCCCAGGCCCTCCAGCCACTCCTCACAGAATGGGTCTGTCACCTGCTCCTCACCCTGGGCCTTCCCCCTGCTCTTATAAGATGCGTGACTAATAAGAAACCATCAAATGCTCTTCCAAAGTACTTTTAACATTTTACACTCCCACCAGCAATGTATGGGAGTTCTCGCTGCTGCACATACTTTCCACTACTTGGCATTTTCAGTTCAAAAAAAATTTTTTTAGCCATTCTAATAGGTTTCTAGTAGTATCTCATTTGTGGTTTTAATTTGCATTTCCCTAAAGACTGATGACATTGAACATCTTGTTTTAGATAGATGGTTTTTTAAAAAAACCATCTATATATCTACTTTTGCAAAATGTATGTTCAAATATTTACTCCTTTAAAAAAAAAAAAAACAGGGCTTTCTTCTTGAGTTGTAAGAGGTCTTTATTCCAGAAATTTATATTTTTCTCCCAGTTTGTGGTGCACCTTTATATTTTCTTAAAAGTGTTTTTAGAGGAGCAGAAGTTTTTAAGGTGAAGTCCAATCCATTTTACTTTTCACTATTTTTTTTTCTTACTGTCCTAGGGAATCTTTGTTTTAAAATCACAAATATTTCCTTATGTTTTCCTCTAGAAGTGTAATTTTAGCTCTTAAGTACAGGTCTATGATCCATTTTGAATTAATTATTGTGAGTGGTATGAAGTAAAGATTGATGGCCAGGCGTGGTGCCTCAGGCCTGTAATCCCAGCACTTTGGGAGGCCGAGACGGGCAGATCACGAGGTCAGGAGATCGAGACCATCCTGGTTAACACGGTGAAACCTCGTCTCTACTAAAAAAATACAAAAAAACTAGCCGGGCAAGGTAGCGGGCGCCTGTAGTCCCAGCTACTAGGGAGGCTGAGGCAGGAGAATGGCGTGAACCCGGGAGGCAGAGCTTGCAGTGAGCTGAGATCCGGCTACTGCACTCCAGCCTGGGTGACAGAGCAAGACTCCGTCTCAAAAAAAAAAAAAAAAAAAAAAGATTGATTTAATTTTTCCCATACAACTGTCTGGTTGTTCCAGCACCATTCCTTGAAAAGACCACCTTGTCACTTACGTTGATGAGACAAATGCTTACCACCTGGTTTCCCCCTCCTGCCTCTTGTTTTTTAGCCCCTGAAGATTTTCCCTATGACCTTGTGAGTTCCCATATGCAATTAAAGGGGTATTTAATTTATGTTATCCAGTATTTCTATGTGTTTTGTAACAAGATGGTGTTTTCAGGCCATTTAGTGCACAGTGTTGCTGGAGACAGAAGCCTTGCCCTTGTTTCCCTCCTCTAGGCCCTGGGTGCACCTCCACAGGGAGGGGTGGGAGGAGACCTTGCCCGCTGCTGCCGCCGTCCTTCCTCTGGGCCTCAGTCTCCTTTTTTATAAAGTGAGGGAGAGGTGGGAGATCAGCAGGACTTGTTTTCCAAGCCTTGGTCACTGCCCTGCTGATGGAAGCAGATTGTAACAAGAACAACAAGAAAGCCGGCCCAAACCAGCTAGGACCATGATGGCGATGAAAGCGACCTCTAGTTGCCGTCGTTGCTCATTGTATCCTAATTATAATACATTTGCATAGGACACTCACAAGTGCCAGGATAGTTTATGAATGATGCCATGGCAACACCCTGAACATTACCTTATATGATTCCTGGAACTCCCTGCCCCTTTTCCAGAAAGTTCACAAATAACCCACTACTTACTTAGCATATAATTAAGAGTGGGTATAAACTAGCCCTGCTCTGTCTATGCAGCAGCCATTTTGCTGTAGCTGTTGCTGTAATAAACTTGCTTTCTTTCACTGTGGGCTGCTTTCTAAGCAAAGCCAAAAACTATCCTGAGTTGAGCCCCAATTTTGGGGTTCACCTGCAGATCAAGGGATCAGACACCATGATCCCTGGGTTTCCTCCTTGTGCTAGTTTTTCTTGGATGCCTGAACAAGAAAGGATTCTCAGTAACAAGGGGAGACCCTGCTCCCATTTCCCAGAGGCCATGTGCTGCTGACCATTCCATGTCTCCCTGACAGGCTGATAACCTGGGAGGTGAGTAATGGGATGCCAGCTACTCAGACACAGGTCACACACAGCAACGCCTTCTCACAAAACCTGCCCTGTAGGTTTTAGCTCTAGCTGCACCCTCACTTCCTCCAAGGAGTCTTCCTAAAAACTGAGTCTTGGCTAGAGGAAAGAGCTACTCCGTGGATGGAAGAGACGGGAAGGTAGTTGGTAGAGGCTGCCTGCAAAGACTGGGGGTGAGGCAGCAGCAGATGTGCCAGTGTTTGCCCTAGAGCATCCATGTGCATTGGGCCACAGCTTTTTCCTTAGAAAGCCTTGGACCTCCCTATAGCCAAAACACCAACAGAAGGAAGCCTGAAGAGTCCAAAAACAGTTTATGGCTCAGTTCTCAGTTAATTGAGCACCTTTCCATCGTGCCTGGTTTGTTGGGGGCATCTTTGAGGGGTGAAGCCTTATCCTACTCTCCTGGGGTTTCCATGGAGAGAGGCTTCCCCTTTTCTCCCTCCTCCCTAAGGTGCATTTGATTCTGCAGCCCTGGACATTCGCTGGGCCTGTTCCACCAATGGGAGGTGTCCTGCCCATGAGCAGCTCAGTTTTGCCCCTTTCAGTGTGGTGAGCACCGTGGGCAGGGCCAGGGCCTGCCGTTCAGAGACAGGTCTGTGTGCACAGTGCACGCGGCTATTGACGTGCACATGCAGACTGCTTGGCATATCCACGCAAGCACACCTGAGCACACTGCCCACACGGCAGGTCTAGGGTGGCAGGGGAGAGGCTTTGTTTCAGGCCCTTCATGAGCCAAGGTCTCCATTCCAGCCTTTACCAAGGTCTTGCGTTAGGGGCTAGAAGGTGCCAGCCTGCAAGGACAGAGGTGGAACTTCTTTCCCTTGCCCTCCAGTCCTTATCTGTCCTTGTGCTCAGAAGGGGAGGAGGGGAGAGTTGTTAGAGTCCCTGGAACCTGTGATAAACATCAAGGTCCTTCAATATCAAAGATACAAGCTTACAAATATTGCAAGTCATTTCAAATTCATTTCTAGAAGAACAAGTGTATAATTCAAAAACCATTTTTGAATGATACAAAGGATAAACATTAAAGCTTGAAAAATTCAGATTAAAAAAGCTTATATTACAGAGGAAACATAAGCATTTCTAAGTGCAGCATCTCACTAAATGCTGCCTGCAGCTCAAGGCCTGAACTCTGCTCTGGGCTGGGAGAACAAGGCTGACCTTCTGGAGTCCTCAGCTGCTCCCGGAAAGGGCTCCGGTGAACCCAGACAAGACAGCCCAGAGCCGTGGGCCTAGAGCAGGGGTTCTCTCTGTCCCTCACAGGCACCCTCAGGGGCATGGGGAAACTTAGCACCCCAGAGCGGGTACTGTCTTGGGCCCCTTGCTGCTGGTAGGGATTTCTAAGGCCTGTGGCTCAGGGAAGAAGCCCAAAATGCACCAAATGGCACTGTGGCTGGGCTCAGTGGGGATGTCGGCCCCCAGGAGGCCACAGGGCTCTGGCTTTCAGGGCGTCACTGAAGGGTCCCTAGGGGTGAGCACTCTGTCATTCAGTCTCCCAGCCTGCACCATTCCCATCTTCCTCAGATCCCCCCTCAGTGATTTCTTCCCCATCACCCTCTTCACTCCCTCCTCACTCCACACTTGCTTCTTCCTGCCCCCTCCCTTCTTACTTGTTCCCCTCCCCACTCCCCTTTCCTTGTTCCCCTCCCCTTCCTCCTCCCTCCTTGTTTATTCGTCCTACTCTTCCTCTCTCCTCCCTCCTCCATCTTCTTTCTTACCCTCTCCCTTGCCCGCTCACTTGTGTCTTCCTCTGTCTCCTTGCTCCTCCTCTCATTTCTCCCTTTGTCTCTTCTTCCCTGTCCTTGACCTTTCTCTCTGCCTCTTCACTGTTCTGTTCTTGCTGTGTTTTCCACCTAGGCTATAGACTGAGCCTCCCCCACCCAGGAAGCGTAGGAGACCCAGTTCAGTCCCATCTGAGCATCCCGGGCGTTACTGGGTCACCTATCCTGGAGCTACCCCTTGGAGGGAAACATTTCTTTCCTTGAGCGTGGGAGGGCCTCAGCTGACTTAACTGGCCACAGAGGAAGCTCTGTATCGGGGAAACCGAGTTTCCAACGACTTGACCTGGAACAAGTCTGTTGGGGGCCTCACAGCAGACAGACTGAGCTGGGTCTGTCCTTCCCCAGAGCCTCACCCCGATGCTGGAGGTCCGCTGGTTTATTACAGAGGCTTGGAGGACGGGGTGGGAGACCGGGGAGGCAGGGCTGGGCTGGCAGGAAGCCCCAGCACCCCGGTCCGGGGCCTGGCTCACTTGGCTGCCGCCAGGATGGCACTACTTCTTGGAGGCCTGCTTCTTCCCGCTGGTTACCTTGCTGTTCCTCCTGAGAGGATGTAGCTCCACTTCAGGCTCTCTTGCCCTAAAGATCAAAATAGAGAAAGCAACTTCTGAGGGCTGGGCGGGGGAAGGGCTGCTCTTCACAGTGCCACAGTGCCCAGAGCCCAGGCCTGATAGGGCCAGGAGGGGCAAAGCCCTCTCCCTTGCACAGGTGAGGCTGTCTGGGTGCTGCTCCAACCAGAGGGTCCCGGTGGCACCTGTGACCTTTCTACATGCTCCTAATTTTGCTTTTCTATCTTCATGAGAAATATGTGATCTCCACGCCATGCTGAATGCGTGATTCATTTCATGGTTACCAGCACCAGCAAGTCAGGGGCTTTCAACAGGTGCAGCAAGTTTCTTGCAAAGAGACAGCAGGGCCGTCTCCACCCTTCTCAGACTAATGGGTCTGGGCTGTGGGGATTTGCTGCAAAGTCCTCAAAAAGCCTCTATCTCTACCACCCAGACCACTGCGAGCAGCCCCGGGGCAGCCTGCATGCCCGCCCAGTATTGTGTTGATTACACAGGCTAGATGTCAGGGATGGTTGGACATGACCCAGGCCTGGGGGGAAGTGACTTGCCCAAGGCCAAATAGCCCCGAGGTGGCCTGCTGTGAGCCATGCCCATTCTGGCAGCGGGTGTGGTCACCTACTTCTCAGCCTCCAGAGGTAACTCCTTCTCCACATAGTCTTCCAGGGCCAATGAGGAGCTGCTTCCTTGGATATCTTCTGACTCGGCTTTCTTGGCTGATTCAGAATCCTCCAGGCTCAGGACAGAGCTGGGAACACTGCAGGGGAGGCAGGGTTGGGGGGCAGGGCTCAGGGCCCAGGGCGTGCTGCACGCTGTCCCGTCAGTGTTCTGGGAGCCTAGACAGACAAGGACACACGTGCTCCTCCTCCTGAGGGCGGCGAAGGGAGAATCTGACCTCTTCAGGGACCCAGTGACACGCTGGAGGTTGGCTTCCCTGGCTTCTGTTTTGGGCCGGATTGGCCCTAACCCACAGGCTGCTATACCCACACCCCAACACTGACCATGGCAAATGCCTGCGGTGGGGTGGGAGGGCTCCATAAGTGACCACAGGAGAGATGACAGGGGGCAAAGGAAATGTGTCATCATGTGTAACATTATGGGCTGAACACATGCCCCCCAAATACATATGTAGAAATCCTAAACCCCGAGACCCCAGAATGTGGCCTTATTTGGAAATAGGGTTGTTGCAGACATCATTAGTTAAGATGAGGCCATACTGGAGGAGGGCGGGTCCAATCCAACATGACTGATGTTCCTTTACAAAGGGGAAATTTGGGAGAACGCCATGTGAGGATCACAGTTCTGTGGCCACAGGCCAAGGAGCTACCAGGAGCGGGGAGCAAGGCCTGGGACGGAGCCGCCTAGCGGCTTCTGGGAGAGCGTGGCCCTGCCCACACCTTGGTCCAAGCTTCTGGCATCCAGATTATAGGAATGACTGCTATGGCAATGCTTTCAATTAAAGATTCCATTTCCTTTTTTCACCTAAGTGCTCTTAAACCATCAACCCACTTGGCTATTCTAGGATTAGGAGGAGTCCTACTGGTTAATAGTTTCACGAATCTGCCTCTTTCCATTTCCAAGAACCTAGACCATCTTGTGTGCATGTTTCTAGTTTGTACGTATGCGTGTATGTTTCTATCTAGTTTGTGTGTGTCTGGTTTGTGTATGTGTGTATAGTGTATGCATGTGTATTTATGTCTAGTTTGTGTATACTTCTGTGTCTAGTTTGTGTGTGTTTGTGCATCTAGTATGTGCTGGAATCTAATGTGTGTGTGTACATGTGTGTCTAGTTTACATGGGTGTTTATAGTTTGTATGTATGCGTATAATTTGTATATGTGTGTATCTGGTTTGTGTGTATGTGTGTGTGTCTAGTTTTCTGATTCTTTCCTCACCATTCCTGAACAATTATTGAAGACCGTTGTAAGCATACCATTAAATTCTTTCAGAATCCTTAGATATAACAAATTAGGAGACCAGAGCTCATTTTAATGATAATAATATCACTAACAAGGGTAGGTAGTAATCTCAGTAAATGTGAGCTGTGTGCCAGCACTTTCCATGTGCTGACTCCTCTAATCCCCATAACCCAATACAGTGAGTCTCACTCTACAGACAAAGAAGCTGGCGCACAGAGAGGGTGAGTGTTTTGCACAGGTCACACAGCTATAAAAAGTGGCCAGATTCCTTAAGCTATCATTTCCTACTAAAGAGCATCTTCCTTTTGAAGACATCTAGAGCCAAATAAAAGCTATGTCTCTTTGTAACTACTTTCTGGCATCCCCCACTGTGATCGTCTGAATGTCTATGTTCCCCCAAATTGATATGCTGAAATCCTCATCCCCAAGGTGATGGTGTTGGCAGGCAGGGCCTTTGGGAGGTAAGGCGGTTATGAGGGTGGGACCCTCATGAATGGGATTAGTGTCCTTATACAAGAGGCCCCAGAGAGACCCTCGTCCTTTCTGCCATGCAAGGACACAGCAAGAAGGCACCATCTATGAACCAGGAAGCAGCCCTCGCCAGACACCTAATCCATTGGTGCCTTGGTCTTAGACTTACCAGCCTCCAGACAGTGGGAAATAAATGTTCAACAGGCTAAGACATTCACTCCCCGTGCACCATACCAGGCTAGCCTTCTTCTGAATGTTTCTGAAAATGCCCTTGCTGGTCCTCTTTGGCATCTTCCTGTAGCCTCAGCTCATCTTCAGCCTGGGCCCTTCCCAACAGCATCCCCCTGTCCTGTCCTGTCCTGTCCTGTCCTGACCTTGGTGCGTCTGTCTTTCTCCCTGGGATTGTTGGTGACTGGTCTTCAAGGACTACCAAGCCCTCTCCCTCTTGGAGTCTCAGGCAGTGGGGTCTCAGTGACTTTTCTGTCTGCACCTTTCAGCATCTGCCCCTCCTTACCCTCCACAGGCTCCTCCTGGGCCTGCCTTCCCTGCTGAGTGCTCTGAGTTGCGGGGGTCACTTGGCATGACCTCCTCAGTTCCTCCAGAAGTGGGTTCCCCAACTTGGACAAGACCCAGACTCAGCTTACTGCAGTGAGATGGGCATTAAGGACTCCTAGAAAACTGAGGGTCCTGTGTGGGAGTTGGGGGGTGCCCAGACTCAGTGCTGTGGGGGTGCGGTCACAGGACTTAGGGCTGCATACCCCAGGTCTTTAGACCCCAGGTCTAAATAACTTATTTAGACCCCAGGTCTAAATAACTTTCCACATGCCTCATCATTTGCTTCACAGTTCACAAAGCTCTTTAACAAACACACTTTCATGAGATCCTCACAGCCTCTCAAGGTGGGCATTATTTCCTCATTTTGAAGATGAGGAAACAGAGGATTAGGGAGGTAAACTGATTCCCCACAGTCACCCAGCCAGTAGAGTGCAGCAGGGGCTCCAACCTCATCCTGCAAGTGTCTCACTACACCGTGCTGCCCAGGCGGTCTCAGATCTGCTCATGCTCCCCTAATGCAGTCTTCAGGTGCTTCATGCAGCGCAGGCTCCTTCCTGGACTAGGCTGTATTCTTCTTGAGCCACTCAAAGCTAGGTCTCTCGGCTCAAGAAGATCATCTCATGAGAGCTGGGCCCAGAAGGTGCTCAACAAGTTGGCATCACCTTGTTGAAAAGCCCAAGCTCAGAAGCCCAGAGGCAGATTTAAGCCAGCACTTCCTGCTATAGGGGCCTGGGATCACTTCACGGATGGCCTTTGTCTGTGTGGGGAGGCTGAGGCAGGAGGATCATTTGAGCCCAGTCATTCAAGAATGCAGTGAGCTATGATCGTGTCACTGTACTCCAGCCTGGGCGACAGAGTTGAGACCCTCTCTCAAAACAAACGAAAAACCAAGGCAGAAGCGGGGCCCAGCTTGCACATGAGGTGGTGGTAGGGTGTGGTGGGACAGAGAGGGGGGTGTAGCCAGAGCTCCTGCCCACCAAACCTGTCTAGATTATTCCAACAGAAACAGGCACTATGCAAGCATTCCCATGTCCCCAAGATCTCCAAGAGGGCCCTTTTCCCAAACTTGTGTCCCAAAGAAACCCACAACATGGCCTTGCTCACACACCCCCTCCCACTCTGCACCCGCTCCCATCCCTCCCCTGCCCACCTGTGAAGTCCTCCTGCTGCAGTTTTTGCCATGTGTGCCACAGGTGGAGGCCTCCCACCTCCAGCCCCCCTCCCCACTCCATCCCTTCCGCCCCGCCTGCTCCCCTCAGTTCCCCTTTCACAGCCCAAGTCTCCTTTCTGCCCTCCATCCCTCCCCAAGCCCATCCCTCAACCTGCGTGTTTCCTGTTTTACTTGAATTTGTAGTCGTCCGGCAGGAAGTAGCCCATCTTGCAATCCTGTTGAGACCGGAAGATCTGTTTCAGCAGATTCTGCTTGCTGAGGCCATATCCATTCAAAACACGGCCCCCAAAAAGGAGCTTTCCCCCGGCAAACATCTGTTGACAGGAAGGAAACGAGGAGAGATCCTCAGCACATCAGCACAGCAGTGTCCACTGATAAGACACGCGAGTTTGGAATTTCACTAGGACAGTGCCACAGGCCTCTGAGAGCTTGCACCGTGAGGCAGGCCTTGGGCGGCTGGGGAAGGAGTGCTGCCCTCCATGAGTTGCTGAGGGAGGTAGGCTGAGTCCAGCCCCTGTCCAGCCTGGGATGGTGAGGTTGCCCTACGACTTGGGGGCCTGGGCAGGGTTTTGGCTCAGCCATACCTCCCTGGGCAACTTGGGCATGGCAGCTCTCCTTCCCTTCTGCCTGCTTGGCCACCCAGCTCACATGCACTTCACATACAGCCCCACAGAACCCTGCGGCCAGAAAGCTGTTCCCCTGCTGTGTATGTACCTTTCAGCTCACCCCATGGAATGGGAGCCCCTTGAGGGCAGGGCTCCCACCCCCACAGGTCAGTCCCCAACAGGTAGACACCTATCCAAATATTTCTGTGCAAAAATATTCATGACAGCGTTATTTGTTATGGCAAAAAAAAAAAAAAAAAAAAAAATACAAATAACTTAAATGTCAATAAAAGCAGCACAAATAGATAAAATGACAGACTCTTCACTTTGGGAGGCCAAGGCAGGTGGATCACAAGGTCAGGGGTTCGAGACCAGCCTGGCCAATATGGTGAAACCCCATCTCTACTAAAAATACAAAAATTAGCTGGGCGTGATGGCGGGCACCTGTAGTCCCAGCTACTTGGGAAGCTGAGGCAGGATAATCACTTGAACCCAGGGGGCGGAGATTGCAGTGAGCCAAGATTGCGCCACTGCACTCCAGCCTGGGTGAGAGTGTGAGCCTTTGTCTCAAAAAAAAAAAAAAAAAAAAATGACAGACTCTTACACAGTGGTTAAAACTCAGGTGTTACAAACTATATAAGGACATGGGGAAATGCTCATGGTATTTTAATTTAAAAAGAAGAATTGCAAAGAATTTATGCAGAAAAGGACTGCAAAGGTCAGACACCAAAATGTTAGCATGCGGTGGTCCTTGCAGGTGCCAGGTACATATCTGTGGGATGAGCAAATGAGACTCTCTGGGTGATCTGATGATGTCATTATTTTCTAAATTGTATTTTCTAAGCTTTCCATAATGAGCATGTGTAAGTATTTACAGTGAACGTTTTTAGGATAAAGTCATTTAAAAACAAACAGATGAAGGGAATTTGATTTGTTAGGTTGAATGTCATCTGTCCCTTCAGTCTCCTGGGATGGGGGACACATGGGGTCCTGGGCTCCAGCCCCAGCTCTGTGTGCTGGGTGACTCTTGGTCAGTCTTCCTGCTCTCTGGGCCTCAGCCAGGGTGGGGAGATAATGCCACAGCCCCTCCCTTCTTCTCCTCTCTCCTCCTCCCACATTTGTGATTCTACAGGAGCAGAGGTGGCTGCAGCTGGGTGGCAGGCAGTGGATGGCAAGTCCCTGCTGGCTCACCAGAATCATCCCCTGCACCACAGAGTTCTTCTTCACCATCAGGGGAGGGTCCTCCTGCAGGGGGCTGTCCAGGTCATACTGCAGCAGGCGGTAGGAGTCATACCGGCACTGCCAGGAGAGAAATATGAGAAGTGGTCACCCCCATGCCAAGAAGATGTACCTGAATTGCCATATTCCTGGCTAGGCCAGGTTCCCCCTGAGTCCTGGAGCCCTGTACAACTCCCTCTCTCCAACTCCTCCTGCTCCAGGAGCCCTTGGGCCTGCATGCACACCTCCCATGACTGTCCCTTGAGGATGTCCCTGGATCTGATTAGAGCCCACTAGGGGAGAAGGCCATTTCTGAGGTGGCTGCCCCACATGTGACGCCCACTAGCCTGGCCCTCTGGGGTCCACAGAATGTGACTGCTCCCTTGCCCTGGGGGTAGCACTGCAGAGGTTTGAAGATGGGAACTGTGTTCTTGGGTGGACCCATTTCCAGGCTTTTGAGTCTACTTTACACAGCATAAAGAATTTCTCCACTCCCTACCCACTGCTGGCAAGCCCCTCAGGACCCTCCCAGTCACTATATCCAGGGAGAGGACCTGAGCTGAACCCATACCTCAAGGTAGGGTCTGGGCAATTCAGAGGAAAGCTGGCCTCTCGCCTCTCCTTTCTGGATGCCTCAGATCTATTAATACAGCCAATGTGCTGTCTTCCGTTTTATCTGCCTTTATTTCCAGGTGCCTCCAGCTATCCTTTCACTCTCCAATATGAAACTCAGAACCACACCCAATGTTCTAGCTGTCAGGGAAAGAGAAAGCAGGGAACATTTCTGCATTCACCAAAGACACCCTAATCTGACACCTGCTTCCAAGTCTGTCCTCTAGGCCTGCTGCTCACTCCTTTATGAACTGCCTCAGGCCACGCCCTGTCCTCACTCATGCTGCTCATGGCCGGGGTCGGCCACCTGAGCACTCCAATTGCTTAGGGACAACTATTAGCAAACAACAACTAGCCCCATGATAAGCGAAAGTCAGTTCTAAGCTCCCCCATGGGCAGGATTTTATCTGTCTCTACATGGACAGACACACAGAAGGAACTCAATACATGCTCACTGGATTCAACTAAATTGGAGGTTGGCTCTGGAAAACAAACATGGCTTTGCTGTATGGGACAAGTGAAAAGGCTTGTGGCTGAGTCTATACTCTTGGACTGAGATGGTAAAAGGGCTACTGGTGTCTGCTCAGAAGGTCTGGAGCACAGACCCGAGGGTGGGCATGCCAGAGTCAGGGAGGGGCCGCTCCTGGGAGGAGGGTGTCCACGCATAACTCCCACCCCTGTGTACATGAAAACCCAGAACTCTGCAGCAGCAAATGGGAAATGGGCAAACACAGCAGATTCTAGGAGACAGGAGGGCAAAGAGGGCTTGAAGGAAGTCACCACGTGGACACCCAGCTCATGTGCTCATGTGCCATCCTTTGCTCCAGTTGGTCTGGGGTTGGGGCCAGCCTTCAAACTGTGCCAATGCTGCTGGGAATGACTGCATGCTTGGAGGGTTACATAGGCCTGATAGGTGGGAACGATTCTACTGCAGCAATGAGTAGGCTGGAGTGCGTTCCATGGGCCCGAAGACTCCCTTTAGACCTCAACCACAATCAGCTGGGACCTTGAGCCGTACTTCTCTCCTGTCCCCCTTCGCACAGGCCACCGCCTCTTCCAGGAACATTAAACACCTGCCAAAACCCCACTCAACCTGGACAGCCCTCCGGACCCCCAGGAGGCAGCAGGCACATGTTCCCAGGCTCCTGCGTGCCCAGAGCTGTCCTCTCACGGCCTCACTGGTGGTGCTGGAGTTGCTGCCACACTGGGAGCTCCTCTAGGGCCCAGTCTGCATCTGAGTCATGCTGGGTTCCCAGGGCCCGGCCCATGCCCAGCACACAGTGGGTACTTGCGATAGTCTACAAATACTTTCAGAGCCCTGAGGATTCAGTGGTGAGCACGGCCCGTGCTCTAAATATTCACACCAACAAACAGTCACAAACTGGAAGGAAAGGACAGTGCCCTGATTTTGTCTCAAGGGTCAGAAGAGGGCCTGGCCCTTACGTGGTGACATTCACTTTGGAGCTAGAGGATGAGTGGGAAGGAGAGAAGCAGTGGGAGGGAGGACACTGCAGACAGGAGAGTACACACAAAGGCCCCAAGGAGAAAGGAGCTGAAGGAGATGGCCCCTCAGGCAGGTGCTCAGCCAGTCCTAGCACTGTGGGGGTCTTCTCGGACTGCCCCACTACCCCTACCCCTGGCCTCCAGGACCTCCTCACTGGGCTGGGACCAACCTGGATGCATGGGGAGCCGCGGCCCCGCTGCTGGTGGCTGTAGAGCGTGTTCAGCAGCCACTGGAGCTGCCCAGTGCTGGTGTAGTTCTGGCTTGAGATGATTCCAAATACCAGCACCTGGCTGGGGTCTCGGGGCGCCAGCAGGAAGCGCTCCAGCTCCACGTCAGAGACCAGGGGGGCCTTCACCAGGCACCTGCAGCCAGCACGGGCGTCTTCCTTAAGCATGAGCTTCCGCAGCACCAGTGGGCAGTCTGAGGGCGAGGCCGCCCACCTGGTGGGGCTGCGTCCCTCGCGGGCCTTCCCTCTGCAAGGAGGAGCACAGTGCACAGGGGCCCTCAGCAGGTGGTGGAGGTCTGTGGTTCCCAGAGCCCCCTGGCTCCTGACGGTCAAAGGGCCTGCTGCAGGCAGATTTTAGTCTGGGCCCTGCTGCCAATGTGCTGCACCACCTTGGACAGGTCCCCTAACCTCTCTGGGCCTCTTTCTACGGTGCAAAATGAGAATAACAAGTTACTCCTTCACCCATCCATTTGGTCAAAGAATGCTTTAGTGTCATCCTTAACTCCTTTCTCTCACACCCAACACATCTCATCTAATCTGTCAGCAAGCCTGTCCTCTCTACACTCAAGACAGACCCACAATCTGACCACTTTTCCTGCCCTCCAGCCCCATGGATGTGGTCCAAGCCTCCTTCATTCTTGTCTGGCTGCCTGCAAATGCCTCCTAATGGGTCCTGTGTTTTCTTCCCCGGCCTGTCTTCAGTCTGTTCTCTGACTGAGGGATCCTGTTAAAACCTAGCTCACGTCATGTCACTACTCTCTTCAAAACCCTCCGGTGGCTTTCTACCTTTTACAGAACAAAAGCCGAAGTCCCTGCCATGTGCTTCAAGGCTGCAAGAATCTGTCCCCTGCATTTTGTCCTCCTTACATCTCTTACTCTCCAGGATTCCCGCCTTTGCTCACTGCACTTCGGCTACACTGGCCTCTACTTGTCCTTTGGTCTTGGAGGACAGTGGCCTTTGCTGTTCCTCCATAGAGCCATCTATGGCACTCTCTCAAGGCTCTATCCAAATGTTACCTTCTTAATGAGATTTTCTGAGTGCCCTATTTCATTCCTGTTCTCCCAAGACTCTTTCCCGTCCCTGTTTTATTTTTCTTCTTAGCATTGCTTGCTATCTAACATACCTTTTACTTTTAAATTTTATTATTGCACTTCTCTGTCCTACTAGAATGCAAGTTCCATGAGTTCATGAATTTGGTGTGTTTTGTTCAGTGGAATAAAACAGTAGCATTTGAAAAATAGTAAAGATTCAATAAATATTCAAACCAATATTCGTTGGGCCCCTACTATGTGCCAAACACTGTACTGGGTTGTTGTGAGGGTTGTGGTATTTACATGGGAATAAGCACCATCCAAATAGAAAGTGTTGCTGTGATTCTACCTTTATCAACGTCTATTCCAAGACTGTGGATGCTGATGCTGTAAAATGCTAAACATGACGAAAGGCAGTAGCATGTTTAGCATTTTACAGCATCACAATCTTGGAATAGACATTGTCTTGGTTAACTTTATAACAACTCTGTGCAATAGGCAGGACAGAAGCTCTTATTGCCATTTACAGATCAGAAAACAGAAGGTTCCCACCAGGTGAATGGGTGCCCAAGTTCATATGATAATTAAGTGGCAAGGGCTAGGATTAGAAACCAGGACATCCTGAAACAAGAGCAATGCAAGATGAGCATTATTTCTCAGGGGCTATTAATAGTGATAAGTACTTGCTGAACAAACTTGTTAAGAATATGTCTTATTCAAGAACCTGCATATCTGGAGCAGAGCAGGGGGTGGGGGAGGCTGGATCTATTAATTATAACTTATCTAGGGATAAGTTCAAAATAATCAAAGGTTTAAATGTGGGGCAATTAAGCCATAACATTTCTACTAGAAAATATGGGGAAATTATTCTATAATTTTAGAACAGGGAAGGCTTTTTATAATTATGACTAAAAAATCCAGAAGTCATAATAGAAAAAGACTAATAAAGTCAACTACATGAAAGAAAAAAGCCTCCAAAATCCCTCTGTGACAAAAAAATACACAAACAAAAAAACCCAAAACTATCATAATCAAAGATGAAAGACAAATGACAAACTGAGAAACATATTTGAAACTCCTAACATAGAATAGTGGTCAATGTCTCCACTACGTAAAATACTACAAATCAATTAGAAAAAGTTAATAACCCAATAAAATATGGACAAAGGTAGTGAACAAATAATTCACGGAAAAGAATATAGGTTTTAAAAATTAGAAAGGAGGGAGGGCTGGGTGCGGAGGCTCACACCTGTAATCTCGGCACTTTGGGAGGCTGAGGCAGGAGGATCACTTGAGGCCAGGAGTTCCAGACAAGGCTGGGCAACATAGCAAGACATCATCTCTACTAAAAATTAAAAAATTAGCCAGCCATCGTGGCACATGCCTGTGGTCCCAGCTTCTCGGGAGGCTGAGGTGGGAGGAATGCTGGAGCCCAGGAGTTCGAAGTTACAGTGAGCCATGATCACACCACTGCACTCCAGCCTGGCAGACAGAGCAAGACCCTGTCTCTAAAATAAATAAAAATACAAATTTAAAAATAAACTCATAAAAAGAGGGGAGTGAAGCCACTAAAAATGGTTGTTACTCTAATTTTGGAACTCAGAAACCACATCCGTTGACTAGATCAACAATGAAGCTGGCAAACACTGTCAGAAACAACTTTATCCAGAGTTCTGGAATCTAATGAAAAAACGTGCAACAACCAGAGGAATGCTTAAATAAGAAAGATGCTGCTAAATTTTGGTAAGACAGCATTGTAGCATTTTTAGCTTACTCCCCTACCATCCTTCATAGCCCTGCTCAGTAGCATCCACGGAATGACAGCCCCTGTTCCTGGTGCACCTTGCTAGTACTGGAGGGGACAATATGAACCTTGTTCTCAAGCAATTGTAGTTCTGTGGGCTGGCCTGTCTGGAGGTTCCCTGAGGGATCAGCTCAGAGCTTGACTTTGTTTTATCTGCCTTGCAACTTTCTCAGGGCTGGAGCAGCCCCTCCTGGGAAGCATCTGTCAGGTGCATTTAAAGAGAAAGATACCAGACATGGCCTCCTGGTGCAAGGGGTAACAGATGAGGCACAGATAGGTAGGCTAAAATGTCTGGGAAGAAAGAGGTTGGGGAAGGAGGTATATGGGAGAATAAGGCTTTGAAAGGCTCACATGCATACCAGGGAATATAGGTACCAGGTTTGGAACCATGTTTTGAAAAGGCCTGAGAACACACTAAGCTTTCATCTCTGGCTGACCACTGGACTTTTTGAAAGTAGAAGGTGAAGGCTAATGCAGATTAATCTTGATGTGAAGAGCCTGACTAAAAGCACTGAATGAATGCCTCAATACACAGCCAATCTGCAAAGACTGGACGAGTTTTGTTTTTGTTTTTGTTTTGGCTCCAGATAATCTCTATCAAATCACTAGCTGATCCCTTACCTAACTGAATGGAGACTACACATTACAAATGTCTTTATAAAGATAGTTTGGAAAAGTAACTAAACAACAAACAGCTACAAACTACAACAAGGAGCAACAACAAATCATAAGGAAAAGGGGAAATTTGATTTCCAGGGTTACCAAATTCTAATATTTAAAATGTTCAGTTTTCAACAACAACCAAAAAAAAAACCTGAGGTGTGCAAAGAAACAAAAAAGCATAGACCACTCAAAGGAAAAAAATGTACTAGAAACTGTCCCCAAGGAAACCCAGAGATTGGACTTACTAGACAAAGACTTTAAATCAATAGCTTAACTATATATATATTTTTTATTATTATACTTTAAGTTCTAGGGTACATGTGCACAATGTGCAGGTTTGTTACATAGGTATACATGTGCCATGTTGGTGTGCTGCACCCATTAACTCATCATTTACATTAGGTATTTCTCCTAACGCTATTCCTTCCCCAGCCCCTGATCCCCCAATAGGCCCTGGTGTGTAATGTTCCCCTCCCCATGTCCATGTGCTCTCATTGTTCAACTCCCACTTACGAGTGAGAACATGTAGTGTTTGGTTTTCTGTCCTTGTGATATTTTGCTGAGAATGATGGTTTCCAGCTTCATCCAGGTCCCTGCAAAGGACATGAACTCATCCTTTTTTATGGCTGCATAGTATTCCATAGTGTATGTGTGCCACATTTTCTTTATCCAGTCTATTATTGACGGACATTTGGGTTGGTTCCAAGCCTTTGCTATTGTGAGTAGTGCAGCAATAAACACATGTGTACATGTGTCTTTATAGTAGCATGATTTATAATCCCTTGGGTATACACCCAGTAATCAGATTGCGGCCGGGCGCGGTGGCTCAAGCCTGTAATCCCAGCACTTTGGGAGGCCGAGACGGGTGGATCACGAGGTCAGGAGATCGAGACCATCCTGGCTAACACAGTGAAACCCCGTCTCTACTAAAAATACAAAAACTTAGTCGGGCGAGGTGGCAGGCGCCTGTAGTCCCAGCTACTCGGGAGGCTGAGGCAGGAGAATGGCGTGAACCTGGGAGGCGGAGCTTGCAGTGAGCTGAGATCCGGCCACTGCACTCCAGCCTGGGTGACAGAGCGAGACTCCGTCTCAAAAAAAAAAAAAAAAAAATCAGATTGCTGGGTCAAAAGTATTTCTAATCCTAGATCCTTGAGGAATTGCCACACTGTCTTCCACAATGGTTGAACTAATTTACAGTCCCACCAATAGTGTAAAAGTGTTCCTATTTCTCCACATCCTCTCCAGCACCTGTTGTTTCCTGACTTTTTAATGATCACCATTCTAACTGGCGTGAGATGGTATCTCACTGTCATTTTGATTTGCATTTCTCTGACGACCAGTGATGATGAACATTTTTTCATATGTCTGTTGGCTACATAAATGTCTTCTTTTGAGAAGTGTCTGTTCATATCCTTTGCCCACTTTTTGATGGGGTTGTTTGTTTTTTTCTTGTAAATTTGTTTAAGTTCTTTGTAGATTCCGGATATTAGCTCTTTGTCAGATGGATAGATTGCAAAACTTTTCTCCCATTCTGTAGGTTTCCTGTTCACTCTGATGATAGTTTCTTTTGCTGTGCAGAAGCTCTTTAGTTTAATTAGATCTCATTTGTCTATTTTGGCTTTTGTTGCCATTGCTTTTGATGTTTTAGTCATGAAGTCTTTGCCCATGCCTATGTCCTGAATGGTATTGCCTAGGTTTTCTTCTAGGGTTTTTACGGTTTCAGGTCTTACATTTAAGTTTTTAATCCA